TATGTATTATACATTTTTATGAAATGAAGCACTACCATTAATACACAATTATGTATATACCTAAATTCATCTGGATGGCCTTATCAAAAAACAAATACCTTATAGGTCCCGAGAGTTCTCCTTTTGCAGTTATATACCATTTTTTAATGAGTACAGGGTATAATAAAAACGATGAGCACGTGCTTCCCTTCGCCAAACATCATGATAAGAAAGGCGCAAACAATTTGACAATTTAATGTGGCGACATCACAACCTGCAACCGCAAACTGGCCACGAGACTCGCTGACAACATTAGCCAGTGCAGAACAGCGAGCGAGGGAGCGGAGTCTATAATTATAATTCCATTACCATTACCAGGCGAAGGAGGCGCGAGTGTACGCCAGCATCGGCGCAGGACTTATAAAAAAAGGAAAAGAAAATTAACAGAGTGCGATTTGAAAGGTGCAGATCCTGTGTAGTCATGTCAAAGACAATTGAAGTGGCGTAATTGCTGAAAAAGCGAACGAGCTAATGATGGGCACTTGAGCACTTGCCGAGAGCGAAGGATAATGCGGGCTGCAGTTCCTATGCGCTGCTAATGTGCGCGCGTCAAGGAGCAGGTGAATCAGTTGCCCTTAGTCGGATGCGGAAGTATGCGTTACTTGTTTGATTTGACGAATTGTTCACAAGCGCACCGCTGGCTCTAACTTATTTACAGTATCTGTTCCTTATCCTCTTTCTCCCTCCAATGTCTCCCTCTCGTAACCCATGTACCAATTATAAGGACGCACTGCAGCTGCAGTCAGACTTAAATCGATCAACTTCGGTAGCACCAAACAAAGTGTACTCTTTGGTATTGCGTTATGTTCTTTTTTTTTTTATTTTGGGCACACCTTTTGCACGTTGGGTCGAAGTACATTCTAAATTAAAGTGTCCTAAGACAACAGTTAACTTTTCAACTATTAAGACATGTAACCGATTTTGATTTTATGTTAACGAGAAACTAGTGTTAAAATCGCTGCTGCCTTAGGTAGGGGTTGTGATGATATATGTAATTTTAACCATTAGTTTGCGCCCTGCTTGTAATTCACCTTGTGCTGACACTAGCGCACGATTCCTACGTCCTGAAGAATTCCATTGCCAACTCGTCAAATCAACGATATTGATGTCCATGTCAGTGCTTTACCAAAGTAACCTGTGCCTAGTGCGTTGGTAGCTGTAAAATTGTTAACTTTACTTTTATGACTACAGTGTCGCCTACTGATTTTCATTATACTCAGACACGGGATTCAACCTAAGGGCCACGTCATTTAATTGGAGTCAAATGCAGCCGATACCCACATTAATTTTAATTATTGTCTGTTTTTGCAGAGGCAACTCACCTGTTTACACAGCTTACTTTATTTCCGCTTACAGAGATTGTGTTCTTGTTCCATAGATCTTGCGCTTATGCAAGCGATCAACTAACAATAAAAGCTAATTATGTAAATGTCACAGTTTTTAGACACAATCGAACGATATTTCTGGAGCGCTACTGTTTCGTTCAGTGGCTATTCATCGATCCGCAGGTTTACTATTTTAATGAGCAGCCCCATGAGGAAAGCAGGAAAACATTTTAAAATTTTTATTGCTTCACATTTGGGCTTAACCTGTTGTCGAGCGTTTTAAATAAGAACATAACTGCTTCTGTTGCCGGTGGCCAATTAACCCTTTCCCATTGTTCCTCTTGTTGGGTTGCCGCTTTTTACGGTTTAATTGTGCGCACAGCGGTCGGAGGTAGTCACAAGAAACAGAGAAATCAATCTCGAAATGTGTTGACAAGCCAGACTCGTCTCAGAGATCTCGAGCTCAAGTTCGGTAGGGAGTATTTAAGTGAACCTTTAGGAAATTACCCATAAGAAATGGCCTTATTTAACAAGGGCAACGCCGAATAAAAGCCGAGCGTACAAACTAAACAAGCGAAATGCACAAAATGATAAAAGTAAGAAGAGAAAACTACAAATGTGAACTCATTAAATTTTGTCAAAGGTCAATAGTTTAGAAAGCGCAAGACGACTAGACTTTCATATTTACTAATATAATGAAATATAGTTTTCATAAAAACTATTATTACTTATAGTAATTATAAAAAATAAACAAATGCTAGAGGCAGAGTGCTTGGTTTGAGGACCTATTAAAAAATAAATTAGTTGTTGAAGTTATAACATTTTCATGATCAACATCAATGACCGAATTGTTCTAGCCAAGATCAGCAAATATCAGCAAATTTGACTTGCAGGTTCCGTGTACCATCAAGTGTATTTTAAATATAGATATATTTTATTCTGTTGTAATCCTTCCACAAGAACGCTGAAAATACTTTAGATAATAAGCACAAGGGATATTAAAGAGTAAATTACCCATTTTTTCCTTAGCTGAGAAAAGAAGAAGCAGACGAATACTTTTTGGACAATACTTATATTAGCATCATTAAAGCTAGGAAGCTGAAAATGCGATCAGCCGTGTCTCTTTCTTTATCCTTTCCTTACTCTACCTCGTTCTCTATTTTGTTTTGTACGTGCATTTTTTGTGTAATAATATATGTATTAAATATATAAATATACATATCTCGAAGTCTATTAATTTGTCTGTTAAAGAATAAATGATATTTTATAGTGTTAATGAATATGCCTCAAGAATCTAATCAAATTAAAATCAAGCCGCTAATCGTGTAAAACAATACTAATTCCGTCAGTAAAATATTGGTCGCATCGGTCGTTTTCTCATACACTGCAAGATATGTCGAGGTCACCTTCTCATCTTGTCCGATTCTCCGACAATATCTTGATTTATGCCGAAAACGTGCAGTAACCGCAAAAACCAAAACACAAATCAAATGCTAACAGCGCATCGAAACATTGCAATAGTTCAGCCTATACTGAGAGCAGGCTCAGTACCTTGAGCAGGTTCAGTTCCTACAGCTAACTCAGAAGCTGTTGCTCATATATCTGCAGGTAACCGGTACAAAAACCTCAAACGAGCGCGAAATCCAAATGCTCAGCAAAGTGAACGCGCGTTTTTTGTCGCGCAAAACTTTGCGAGCTGTTACAAAAAGGCTTTGGATCGGAAATCGAGAGATCGAATGGAAGATGGTTACGATCCTGATGTTCCTGCTGCTGCATGCTTACCTCATTTATATTTCGAACGCGAGCGTATAAAAATATTCTGTTGTCCCGATGTGGCCTGGCCCAAAAGTGTCGCCCCCGGCTTATGATCGAGGCGATCAACGAGCAACGATCGATATGTGCGTTCAACGTAAACAGTCCAGCGTAGCAATCTGTGTTTGTTCAAAGAAGAAACTTTTTTACAAAGCCAGGCATCCAGCCTGTCAGTCATAGTCATGCCTGATCATTCCGAAGTGGGACAATCAGGCTCAGAAGTGAAGCTTGCTTCTACTGCGCTTGCGCCTGCTGGCTGGGGTGCTGGCTACTGGAAATAAGGCCTTCACACTGTGCTGCATTCCTGACCACCAGTTTTCTTGTGCGAATCCTCAACGCCTTTTAGCATTGTTTATGAAGTGCAATGCCCCTCCTGCTTCAATCCTTGCACGTGATAAAATTATGGCAACTTTTTTGCTTATGTCTAAATGTCTTTCTTTTTTCAGACTCAAGCAGCGAAGCATACGTTTCTTGCATATTTTACGCAATTTTCGTACATTTATACTTTTCTTTAAGGCCTATCCTCTTATTAGATTTCCTTCATCCGATTGTCTTTTCCGTACTTTCAAAACAATTGTTCTTATATGTTTCAAAAATCTTCTTGTAAGCTCTAAATTCGGAGAGTCTTTGCCTTTTAATGCAGCAACTAAAAGAAATGATCAACAAATTGAAATTTTCCTTTAAACTTAATGAAATGTAATATTCAGAGTTAGTCGGAAAACTACCTATCCTGGGAACGTTCACAACAGGCTCTTCTGTGGTTTCATATAATGAAAGCACTTCTCACCTCCGGCCTGGGTTGTCTGTCCCCCCGATAGCACCCCTGATCTTAGTTTTCTGCTTATAAATTCAGATCACAATGCAGCTACAGCAACGCACACTACAGTAGCTCATGACAATTTCAATGTCATTGTCGCCTTACTAAGGAAGCAAGTCTCGTACAGTGGGCCAAAATCAAACTCCATCATCAAAAAAATTCAGCCTTTTTCAATAATCTGAAACCTGCACAAAACATCAGATGAATTTGGTATGAAGCAAAGCGGTCACTGAAAAGTTATGAAAGTCGATTGTTACCAGTGTTCTGCATTTTGATAAGATTATCCATTATTTATCCATTATACAAAACCGTAAAAAAGAGGTACAAAAAAAATGAAAATTATCACCTAAATTTACTTTTGCCGCATGAGTTGACTGTCGGTTCACAGTGTGTTTGTCTCGCCGGTTGAGAGATGTGCGAAGAAGCGGCAGTTGCCACCGCGGGCGATCGATAGTTATGGTTGTGTCAGACATCTTGTAATTTTGTACTTTGCAACGAATTGTTGTTCTTGTTGTTGGCAACTTGTTGACACTTCATTGGTGCGCAAGTTAATTAAAGAGCGCCTGGACGACGTTGCAAAAGGACAGCCCAGGGACCACCAGGTAGCACATTGATAACTAACACAAGTACAACACACTTTATTGTGGAAATTATAATTTACGCAAGAATGTTTCAGTTTAAAATGCCCGACACGGAAATAACTCGTTCAAAGTAAACAAATACGCTTATAGAGATTATGGAGCAGCAGTAGCATTGCTTATTCCCAAGTAAAGTGTATAAGAACTAACATAAAAAAGTTATCAAACAGGCAGAGACGGGCGGACATGGCTATATGAAAGAAACTTTCCCTTATACTTACAGGTACTGGAAGAATTGAAAATAATAGACAATAAAATTACACGCCTAAAAAATGATTGTTTTAAAAAAATGGGTAGACACAAATAGTATTTTTTCACACTAAAATCGAATAGAATTTGTACAAGAAAACAAGTGGGTATTAATTACATTTACATAGTTCGATTGTATTTTATTTCGATTAAATAGTTATCACGAATGAGTAAACTAGCATAAACACATTAATTGTTTTAAACTGGGACTCTTACTAAACTAAAGTGAAAGCAAACATGTCGTCTTAATTAACTACCTCAACACTGCAATCTTCCTCGATATCAGCTTCTTTCAGTTGTGACCTTGTCAGTGCCGTATCTTCAGAGCTTAAGTTGCTGCTATTGCTTTCACTGGAACTGGAACTTGAACTTATGCATTCAAGATTATCACGCTTAGCCGTACATCCCTCCAAAGTCGCCTGTGATTCGCTACTGAGTCGCAAACGCTTCTCAGGCTTCTTTAATAACTCCTCAATGGAATACGGATTCCGTTTGCGACTATTATGGCTGTTGTTCAGCGTATCTGTCATAGTAGCTGTAGCTGCGCTTAACGACAGCGCCACCGGTGAGGATTTTCCCGAATCGCAATCACTCAACGGATCCCCCATGGCACAGGGTTTGGTTAGATCGATTGAGCTTTCTGATTTTGTGAAACCGCCACTAACTCCACAGCTGCTTGCCGCAACAGCAGCAACAGCCGCCATGCTGGCTGCACCATGTGGCATAAAGGCGCCACTATAAGGCAAAATCTGACCGCCCGTTGCTACTGCCTGTGCTGCTTGCATATGTGCCTGGGTATAATAGAGAAGCGACGGATTCCATAGCCAGTGCTTGTGAAGTGCCGAATAACTTAAATCCAATCCACCCAACTGGCTGGACACGGCGCTGGCCATTCCATGACTATGACTGTTTCCATGATTCGAAGGCAGCTTCGGCGCAGGTTTGAGAGGAAGCCCATCGCTCAGCAATGCCGGCGACTGCAACGCCTTGGCAAAGCGTGAGGGCAAGCTTGATACTGTCGTTGTGGGCGGCGTGGCAGAGGCGGGTGTAACTCGTGAAGCTACGGCTGCTGCATTGCTGGCGCCTGCGTACAACTGCGTAGGCGTGGCATAACCACTTTGAGTACCATTGGCAGAAATTTGGTGAGCCGCTGCCACTGCAGCAGCCGCAGCATTTTGTTGACTGGATGTCATTTCGTCTGTCCAAAGACCACTATTACGCAATATACGATTAATAGAGCTGATCGACGGAACTGAGCTAGGGTCACAGACACGCTGCTGCTGCAACTGCTCACGTATTTCCCAAGCGAACATGCCACTGTTCTCTTCCTTTAAGCGTATAATCTTTTTTACCACCGTAGGTGTAGCCACTTGCTGTTAATGAAATTTAAAGCAGAGAGTTTCTGGGTTAGAGACTGGGAAGTGCTTGACATGTCCTGACCATTAAATGCCGTGAAATTCTATTGTATAATGCAATGCACCTGCAAACAATTTCCAGATCGCCCATAAGTATAAGGCGTTAGTACCAGCCGAACACCTCGCGCTTTTGCTGTTATTTTAATAGATATATATCAACTTGCTTTTTTTTTTTTAGCTATATCTTTACTTGCATATTTGCTGATTCAAAAGCTGCCCAACGGAGTCGCCGCACTTAACGTTCACGTGTGACGTGGCAATTCATTAAAAATTCATAAATACTTGAATATTTCATAGGCGCCCCTAAAAGAGCCCACATTTACATCAGAGATCTTATCGAATCGTACACACGAAGGCGCTTTGTATGACTGCTCAACTAACCCCTGCTTTGTTCTCGACTATTGTTACGCCCTCTCCTCCCTCTTTCTCCAAGTATAAGCCCACGTCACATCCCCTGGGTGACACTTCTTTATTGACATGGTGTAGGTGTTAAATGCACGTTTTGTTAGGGCAAATGAAGGCAGTTATTGAATCGCTATATCACGCGCATATTCTATGTGAAGTACACTTTACTTAGAGGTTAATTGCGAGTTATATTTGAATCTAGTGCCATCGGAATACAGTACGACGCAGCTGAACATTTATTTTACCTGGAGCCCATGCTGATATGTACCTGTCCTAGCTTCCTTCACTGTGCTTTGTAATTCTGTCCACGACTTTTTATCACAGCGTTAACTGCTGCTGGCGCGGTAGCCCACAGTAGCTTTACGTCGCTGATTGAGCGTGTGAAATTAGGCAACTGACTAAAGGCAGGTAATGTACCGACGGTGACAAAAGCGTGTTATCCGCTTATCAATGCTAGCAAATGAGATTGATTTGCTGCGCTCTGCCCACATCGAACTCTCCCCAAACAGCCTACAAAAGCTGCCATCCAAAGAACATGTAAACTAGCTGCTTTATCTTTGATACTTTATGGATTTACTGCTGTGCGTTTGATTTTTATACATATAATCGTTTGTTATTTCACGGCGCACATATGCCCATATCCCACGAAGCCCACTTCCAATCCCATATCTACTTACCTTCGTTTTGCTACCACCAATAGATCCCGGTCGAATGGAACCTGTCTCATAAAAGCGCGTCAAAATTTTGGAAACGCAGCCTATCAAGTATAATAAAGCAGAAAATCAGTTTAGTTTATTTTATATAAAATCTACTCCTTGACTGCACACTTACCATGGGAGACTAATAGTTGTCTGGATATGTCACAGGGCCTTACACCACACAGCGCCAAATCTACGATTCGTCGACGCACACAGTCTGGCAAAGGGCGTCCGTTAACAAACACCCCGCCCAACTGATTGACACCCGCCTGGCCTGCAAACAATTAAAACGAAAAAAAAAGGTTTATTATAAACAAATAAATATATATTATTTTAATACAAAATACTTTCTACTGCTTTTTTCATATAGGACATTTATGCGTGAATCTCAAGCGCAGAGCTTCAGCATCCCAAAGTAAACATTAAAAATATAACATATTAAAATAGTATTACTAATAATCTTTTATAAAAATTTTCTTAACAATCAAATCGAAGAGTAATCAGCTTGGTATTTCGGTTTTAAGCTGAAAAATATGCATTGAAAGACTTCGATCAATTCACATTTGTAAAATAAATTATTTTCCTTTTCCTTGGTATATGCTATGCTTATGAGCTTGCAGATAAATGTTGTAAAAAACGAGTATAAACAATGAAATCATGCTGCTTCGCTCTAAACGAAATTAGTACTCAAACATATGTGTAATTGCAATTACCGTCCAGTCAGTGCGTCTTTTCTGTTTTAGTATCACACTTTTTACCTCATGCTATTGCCAACTCCTCGGGGCGGTATTTTCGAGTTTAATGGAGTGCGAATTTTATGTTTGCTGTCTCTTATATGAAACACAAAAGAGTTTTGCTCAAAGGGCTGCGACTACCTCTTAGGTTCATGATTATCACATTCAAATAAGTATTTTCAATTTTACTTTTGGCTTATATTTTGTTGTGATGGCATTGAACGCTTTCATTGAGGCAGTTACTGCTCATTAGTTAACCAAAAGAGGTCCGAAACTCACCTGTATGTGGCATGGTAGAAACCCGTGTTAAACTCCAATTGCCAACTATTTGAAGTGAGTAGCGTCGCCTGCGTCAGCTTTGTGATAATGTTTATGGGTTTGGCTTAAAGTTTTGCTTAATCGTGGAATTCTAATCAAAGTTTAGGCAAGAATCCCATTAAACCACGCGTCGAGATATTGCTCTCTGCTGCCGAAGGCGCTGCAGTTGATGGATGTTGCTGTTGAGATGGTGCAAGCGATCTCCTGGCAGAGCTAGTAGCTGGGCAGATGGGTTTTTTACGGCTTCTCCGAAGTCTCCGCACACGCTTGTCAGTCGGGAATCAGATCGGTGAAAACTAGTAAGGAAAATACATAAAACTTAATTATTTCATAAAACTTGCAAGGCAGCCACAAAAGACAATACATATGTGGTTATACTCCTAGTTATAAAATATTCGGCGTTTCGGGGGATTTAATGTTTAGTGGTTTATGTGCTGTGCCCAAATGCAGCGTGCTTGTATTTTTGTTGTATTTCAAATTAGCTGCTTATCAAGCACATTCTTGGCGCAGCGTGAACTGGCCTATTATCAGCGCTCTGGGACTACTTAAACCACATTGCATGTTTAGCTTACTGAGGCAGACGTTGAAAATATGCAAATGCTCAAACTGGGCAACAATTAAAATAAATTTTGGCCAATTGCTCATTTGGTTAAAAACATACTGAAAATATGCAAATGCAAAGCTCGGCTACAGAAGGTCACCCCTACTTCGGTTTCCGTTTCCTGTCATTAGAATGAATGGGCAGCCAGTTTAACAGTGTACTCCCTGGTTAACCTGTCGCCAGCTTGTCAGAGGCATGAAAATGCGCGCCGAAGAACCGTATAAATCATAATATGTAACTACCCCTTAGCTCCAAAGCCTTTGCACTTGGTCATGGCCATGTTATTATGGAATTCACATTAGATTTAATTGCCTATAGACCTAAGGATTTGACTTTTCGGTTGCTTTTCAGCTCGTAAAATTCCGAATCGCGCGTGTGGACAGCAGCGCTGTTTTTCAAATGCACAAAATTAAGTTGTTTTTTGTTTTCTTGTTACTTTGTTTTAGTTTAGTTTTGGAGGTACTCGACTCGTGGCAGCCGTTAAGGTCATTAAGTGCCACAGGCTTATCCACATTAGGTAGCGATAAGCATTTTTATTTGCAAGCTAAACTCTTTTAAAAAAAAGAAAGGGTTACTTTTTACTAGTGTGTTTTGGCGTGTTTCACTTTATTTTTCTTCCTTAAAGCAGTTGGAACTACAGAAAATCGTTTTTTTAATAAATTTTGTGCTAATAAATCCAATGACATCGTTTATGAAATAAAAAAGTCTGTGCTTTAAGTTGCAATGTGGTTTTTTAAAAGTCTGATATGGCCAATTCAACGGCTTTCAAAAGTCATTGGTAACATTCTTGAAATTTGTTGTGCAAAAGAGCTAAATAATATGAATAACGATACACTACTAGGGTGGGGCATATGCGATCTTACAATCTTTGTTAGTATTTCGAGTAGATCAAGAAAATTATACGATTGCAGAAAATATAAAATAGATAACTAATCATTCGGCTCATTTAAATACTGATACACTTGTCAAGCGTAGCAAACATAAAAATTAAAAGAAAAGAGTCAAACATACAATAATTTAAATGGGTACGATAGCCTAAAGTGGAACCGACAGGTTCGTCGAGCTTCTGTTCAAGCAAAGAAACCCCACGGCGTTTAATCTAAACGTAGCTAATTAAAATAAAAAATTATATAAAACATATGCTTTACCATTTGAATGTATATAGGCGTATACCTTCTGAGTGCTGCGAGGTACAAAATGATAGACTAAGAATGAACATTAGTGTAAAACAGTGGTCACCGTTTTCTTCTTTGCAACTTAATATGAAAACCAGCCAGAAACAACAACAAGATCAATATCGTTTTGGGTCTGATGACCACGCTTATATACGTTAAATAAGTTGTTAAGCGGCTTGTTTGGGTAGAAAGCTTTCAAAATCAATGGGTCATAATGGAAGACGGCATGCTATAGAATTAATTAACATACGATTTTTGAATTTTGTCGTTTGTTTCGTGGGAAAAAGTAGTAGCTACATTTATGAGTTATCAGAGGCCGGCGGAAACACAATTTCAATACGACTTTTCGCGAGCTTTGCGATGCAAATTTGTTGATCTCATAAAATTAAAGCAACATCCGTTGTTTATTTGTATATTAACTTTAAATGAATAAAAGATAAGTGAATAAATGTAATCCCATTACATTGACTCACATTTGGATAATAACGGTTACCTTAAGGCATTAATTGCTGTGTTCAACAAAATACAATAATACAATTTATAAAAATATCTATCTAATGTCTTGCGCCAAAAGAAATTTGTAATTTCTTGAAGTAATTATGTACACAATTTAAATATATAAGATTTGCTGAGTTAAAGAGTTGACAACATATTAGTATCACGCCTAGTCATGATTACGGGTTTGCTTCACTAAAAAACAAAAACGTATTCGCCCTTACTTAAAGTACTCGAATTACCATTGTCTCTCTGATAAAAGTTGCTAAGATAGAGTAGCAGGATAACAGATTTCGCAATTAATAAAATATATATTAAAAAAAAAAAGAAAAAAAAACTCAAATTACCATCGATCTGTAAGCCGCTCTTACGACCTAGATACTTAATCTAGGCAAAATCACTTTTCTACCCAATTTTACTGAAAGTTAGTATATTAAGCTAAAGAACTGTCCATTATATATTTATTTCTCTTGATACTTATAGACTAGATCTATTTACAACATTTTTTCACATTTTACCTTAGCTACTTGTCTTTTTAATATCGTCAACTTTGATTACAATTCACTAGCACAAACTTTTAACTGTAAGCACAACACACGAATTTTTATTCAGCAATTTATTACGTGGGGCGTTAGTTTTCCGAAAAACTACGAATGGACTCGAGACGGCTTAAGCTTACCGATCGCGACACCGCTCACCTAGTCACACGACCGTCAAAATTTCAACTAATGCCTGCGATTCGCGCTGCCAACGCACAAAGCATCAATGATCTGCTTTGCTGTTCCCGTGTCCGGTTCCCTGCCGTGTTACATCCAGCAAACTGTGGACTACTACCGCCACCCGAAAAAATACGCACTCTGGCAAACGTTCACGGCCCTCTCAACGGCCACAAGGCAGACGAAACGTTTTTCTGGTGTAACCGGTTTCACGGAAACAGCAACAAACAACCGTTTGCAATAGCAAAAACAACAACAGCTGCTGCGACAGCCCCGGTTAAGCGGCTCACGACCAATCAACGTTCGCTTGATAATGCGCATGTGTTGTGCTAGCATAACGCGTCCTCTCATTGGTCAAAACCATGTCTGTACATTTGATGCCCTTAAAGGTATTAAACAACCGCACCGTGGAACTACATACATCCTGCACTGCCGTAACGGATATAGTGGAGTTAAAAAATTAATTTAAATGCAAAGGATCGGATCATACATCTATTGAAAAAAAAAAGTTTCGGATGTTTATATTTTTAGTGCTAAATGTTAGTACGTATCACATAATCATTAAAGAGACAGTAAAATATAACTCGAGCAGCTATAAGCCTATAAGCACACGATATCACAAGCTGGCAAGTTTGGATAAAACGCAATTAATATTCAGAAAATATGAACCCAGCCTAAGAGCTTAGAAACCTACTAAGTCAGATAGTATTTAATTATGAATTTTTGCCATCGTACAACTACATATGTTGAAGCGTTGCGGCAGCCGTATCCGTAGCCGTTGCCGTCGCAGTCGCGTTCCGGCCAATCGGCAGCGTCAACGTAGCACGCGAACGCTTCTTCATGCCCACCACAATGTGGCAGTACCATAGCCAGTAATGTATATATATGGAAGTGGGTGTGTATGGCGTAGCCGTTGCCGTGAGCGAAACAACGACGGCTGCAGTCGTGCTTCGGTCCTACCCACAGCGTGGCTACCTCTCGCTCTACTGAAGCTTCTGGAGTGGGCTAATGGGTTTTGGGTGGCGGAATTAAGAAACGCTTTGGTGGCGTAAGCGTTAATTGAATATGACAATTGTCGGTTGGCATTTCAATTGAAATTAAATTTTAAATGGACAAGGCTGGTAACGAAAGATAAAACTGTCATATTGGCTATAAAAGCACTGTTGCCTACACACGGAAAACTGCTGATTTTGAAATGTTAAATATAATTGAGACCAGAGTCTTTATGTCATATACGAAAAA